CCCCTCGCCGCGGGGCTCTCCCTACGCTCCCATGCGGGACGCAGGAGGCAGCGCTGGGCACACAAGCTTCCTGCAGGCCCTTGGCCCAGGACTGGTGGTTCTGTCCCGGCGCTGTGTTATAAAGGCTCCCGCGGGCTATTTTGAGGACATGCAGCTCATGCTCTTTGCAACGACACTTCGTAATCGAGCCGCCTGGGCCAGCAGCCACTTTCGGGCAGAAGCGGGTGTCTCATCTTACCACCCACCTGTCCATGTCCCCATCCAAGGGGTCAGACCTGCTCTTGCATGGAAAGCCCTTCAGAGGAGCCCAAGGGCCCAAAACCAGGACTTCCCAGCAGCAAGCCCTCACACACAGGCATGTGTGCCAGGGAAAAGGCACAAGCATGAGCACCAATGAGGGGAACCTGCAGATGTGTCAGAGCTGTGGTGCCAAATGCATTCAGAGCTAAGTCACTCTCCTATAGTTGCATCAGACAAGTTGAAAGGAGCAGAATGAGCTGTGCTGCCCAGCACGGCAGTGAGGCAGCGTACAGCTAACAGGGATCAGCATGAGCACGTTGGAGCACAGCGGTGCCGCCGGTGCTCCTGATGCAGGCGCAGAACCAGAAGCCCATGATGCCAGTCCACAGTGTTCAATGTCCTACTTGACGTGAGGGCAGGCTGTGGCAGAGCTGCCTGAGAACAGCTGAAGAACAGCACCACCACCAGACACTTCTGCATTTGTTACCCTCCGGCTGTAGCTGTCAAAACCAACCATCTACCACAGAGGAATCTTTCAGCTCCAGCGAGGGTTCAAGCAACTGCCCCCCCCCGTGCTTTTCCCCGTCACAGTTCAGTCGTTTCAGATGCACAAGCACATTGTGCTCTGTTTTGTGCCGATGGGCCTGTCCACGCAGGTGTGTCAGGAGTCACCGAGCTCCCATTCTGCTGCTGCAGCAGCTCGAGCACACGCCAGAGACCCGCCTGCGCTTGTTTCTCTTCTGGCAAACGCATCGATCCCTGTGCTGAGCACCCCCACTCAGGGTTACTGCACACACACCACCACGGTGAGCAAGCTGCTTTTAGCCTCCGTTCTTGGAACAGCAATTAGCTGTGTACACAGGGTGACTGACAGAGTCCTGCTCTACCACAAGGAGCCTTGGTACATGAGAAGAGCCCCCTCCTCAGCCCCAGCACTGCTGCGCCATAGCCCTGCTGCAGGGAAGCACAGGAAGAGGCTGCAGCTGCAGATGTGCATGGAACACGCTCCTGTTCTGACACCCCAAGCACCCACATTCAGTGGCAGACACCCATAGCCTCACGAGTTGCCCTCCAGCATCACCCTGCCCTCCCCCGTGACATTTATAGCATATTTCCTTACAAAAATACTTTCAGCATAAGTGACTGGTTTGGAAATAGCGCAGCTCACGGATCATGTGAGCCTGAGCAGCACTGCTGCAGGCAGCCCTGGGTCCCCCCGGAGGCAGATTCCTTGGGTAACTGCTCAGGAGCAGTGAGGTCCAGCTGGCCCAAGCCCCTGTCTGATCACTGCTAATAAAGCAGGTTTAAGCTGGACAGGACATGGCCAGCCTCAAGTTCTCTTCCTTTACAGATGACGCAATGCAAGTGTCTTTAGGCTAAGTCACCAGAAGGCACCTGCAAAAAGGGGGAGTGTGCGAAAGTGCCATTTCTTGCAAAACTGTGGCTAGAGAGAGCTTTGAGGAAGCAAATACCCAGACACTGCTCGGGCAGAGGCCCTCGAGCACCACCCTCGAGCTCTGGTCCTCCTACAGGGCAGGTTCAAGGACACTCATGCCATACTCCGATAAAGACAGAGACAGAGTAGTATTAAAATCTCAACTTTATTTGGCCAACAAATTCAGTTCCAATGTTATTGTAGCAGAATGCTAAGAACGAGCCTGATGCAGCTCAGGCCTCTGCGGCACTCCCCCCGTGCAAGTTCCTCCCCAAAGCCCAGTAATTGCAAGTATCCTGTTTGATCCGGCTCATCAGACCCTCCCACACCACCCACCTGGTCAACCCCCTCCAAATAATGCATGGAAAGTGATTGCAAAGTCTTGCATTTGATCAAAGGATGGCAGCAGAGCCAGGGCTCGCCTGCACTGGCGAGCACTCACCTCCACCCCCGAGCCTGCCACGTGGGCCCCCCCCCCCCCCCCCCCCGCCCCCTGCCACAGCCAGTGCACAGTATTCCACCCTTCCAGGTGATCGGAATAGTCATCTCCAAGTGTCTTAAAGCAGAAGGGAAAGGAAACATCTGGCCAGCATGAAGGTGCACCTGCACATACACCTCTCACCAGGCCACCATCAGCCTACTGCCTCTTGCCTACCTACACTGAAGGCCAATTCCAGGGAAGAGCTGCTGAGAGCATTAAGGACCCTGCCAGGTGCAGAAATCAGCTACAGGCTTTAGTTTTAAAGGAAACAAGGAAAAAAGCTTTCTTGGGAGAAATTAGTGGCAAAGCTCCAGGATGTTGAGCCACTGAGCTCGTGCTGTGGCTTCACAATCAGCTTCTACCCAGAAGAGCAGAATACTTCAAACAAAAGCTGTGTACAAAAAAAGTACATCCTGATAAGGAGGAGCGCAGCGGGGCCGGCTCCCTGGTGACAGATCCCTTCTCAAAAGCCAAAAAGAAAAGAGTCGAGTGTACAGACAAGTGAGGGGAAAGTGTTACTTTAAAAAGCCAATCCCTGGACTTCCAGTCATTCACCTTCTGCTTTAAATCTCAATGGTTCTGACTCACTGGGCTGCGTAACAGCAGCCAATTTAGTGTCTGATTTTTTTGGGTGATGTCAATCAGTCTTCTCTTTACAATTCATCCTTCTGCATTTTCTGCTCATCATCATCACCTTCCTCAAGGTCTGTTTCTTCATCAGTCTCCAGGTCCTCCAGATCCTGTAACAGGTTACAGACAGCTGCTGGTTTTGGGTGCGTTGGGCAGATCCAAACCCAAGCACAGAACAGTACATCTGATCTGTTCACTGTTCTCTGCTGCCATGTTAAACACCCAGAGGCTTCCACCAAGAGCTCTGGATTTGGGACATTAAGGATTAGAAACCCCTGGAAGCTGGTACCTCACTTGTAACAGCCTCCACCCCAACTAGATACACAGCACATGTAACGTGCATCATACTGCTCAAGTTTCAAGCGCTGAGCAGGAGTTCTCAGTAAAGAACAAGCCCTCAAAGTACTCCAGCAGTTTGCACAACAGCCAGAGACAGCCTGTGCACATTTACAGCTTCACCATCAACTGTTTCCACGTTTGTGTTTAGGCCTCGGAACGACATCTATTTCACACCCAACTGAAGTGCTGCCAATAAAAGGTGTCATTTACAGGCCACTGGCAGCCAGACTGCAACTGACCAGTCACATTTGATGGTGGTGAACATTCTGATCACCAGCAATGCCCCTTCTTGCCACAGAACCACCCGGGATCTTATTTAGGACAGAGGATAGAGGCCCAACAGCAGGTCTGACCCATGCTCCCCATTCTGAAGGCCCAGAATTACCACCACATTCACATTACTCACATCATCAGCTGCTGCCCCATCCTGACCTCCGCTCTCCAAGAATTTCTTGAAGCCTTCCAGCGTCCTCTCCCCATTGTAGTCAATTACCTGCACAGGACAAAACATCAGGATAATGGTTATGGGCACCTACAGAACCACACCCCTGGGGAGGAGAATTCTCTCTGAGCAACAGTCAACATGCCAAGCAAAAGGGAATTTAAAAATTCACCTTCACCCATACGAGACGAAGGAAAACAGCTCAGGCACTAGACTTCAGAGAGCACTGCGAGGAAAGAATAGCCTGCAGATGAGCACACTGTCCTCTATGCTCCCTCTTTTCCCCATTCCCACCCCCACCAAACTCCTTCCTACAACCCAGCTCCCACAATGGGTCTCTGATGGCCTGTACACTTCACATGTTCCATCCCGACAGAGCGGAGAGCCCTCCCAAAGGCTTGTCCAAGCCAGCTCCAGCAGGCAGTTAAGCATTCCTAGTGCTCCCTCGTTACACCTCCCAGGTCAGCTGCCTCCTTACATTTCTGCCAGAGCCTGCAGGGAAGAACTTGAGCGTGGGGAAGCTGTGGATTTTCACTGCCTCTACTTCATTGGCTGTAGAATCCATCTTGGCAATGACAATGTTCTCGTGATCCCTGTAGGTCTCTCCCAGCTTGTCCCAGATTGGAGCCAGCTGCTTACAGTGACCACACCAGGGGGCATCTGTTAATTACAGAAACCCAGTTAGCACCAGCAGCCTAATGAGTGACCTCCAGCCCCCCCCCGAGCCCTCACACAGACAGTTCACACACATCTTTTCAGTCAGGGCACTCCCTTTGTGGCTTAGATCCTGTAGGATGCTTCCTCCCTAATCCTGGCCATGCGGAATTTTGGCACTCCTTTCATGCCAGTTACTTGGAATCAACTGCTGAAAGATACTCACAGAACTCCACAAAGACATTCTTATTCTCGTCAAAAGCAACTTCTTCAAAGTTCTTCCCAACTAGAACTTTGACAGGCTGCTTGTCCCAGTCATCAGGAAGATCCTGACTCATCAGGTGAGGCTGGAATAAGAAGTGAAATTCAGAGATAGCCACGCAGCTGCCCGGAATGCACATGCAATCACACCCTGGAAACCCCGCGCTCAACCACCCGCCTCAGCACCCCAATCACAGGCTGTGAGCAAGCACTGAAGCAGCCACTTCCTCTTCTCTTACACAAAGTCTCCTCCCCATCCCGAGCCAGTGGGAATATCAGATACTGCTGTGCAGAGAACTGTCACTGAGCTCCATAGGAAGGAAGCAACATTGCTGCCATTCCCACAGGACTGAGTTTCACCAAACAGTCACGTCTGGCATAAGCTGCACAGAGCTTCCTCCAGGGATGAGAGCTGAAGGCTCTGAACTGTGCTGCACAAGTTCACACCTTCCACAGATCGCTGGCAGCTCCGGCAGCACGCGGGTGCCAGCTCCCTGTCCCGCAGCCTTCATGCCCTGGTAGTTTTGCCTTTCCTTTCCCAGCACAAAGCCCACAGGATGTCCTGTACAGGAGCTGGAGGGATTGTCTCCAAGTGCCTCACAGCTCCCCCCAGGGAGCATTCATTCATGCTCGCTCCACCAGCAGGTGCCACCAGCAGCACTTCTCTTCATTACCTTGATTTTGCCCTCCAGGAACTTGTTGCAGAACTCTTTGATCTTGTCAGCTGTGAGGTCATCAGAGTCTGGTTTGTATTTGGTCATCTCCTCCTCCAGGGTGATGAGGCGCACAGCTGGACATTCTTCCTTCTTCAGGCCAAAGAACTCCAAAATTCTCTGGTTGTCGCTGTGGTCACTGTCTATGAAGATGAAGAGGATCTTTGGAGGAAAAAGTCAAAGGTAGTTGGTGAAGATGAGCACCTCTTGGCTAAAACACAGCACACACACACTCCCACAGGTAGAGGCTGAACCGACCCCTCCTCCTCCAAAGCCATGAAGAGGGCACCCTGCCAGAGCACAAACACTGGAGCTGAAGCAGTTCAAGCAGCACAGGCACAGACCTGGCCCTGATTTAGGGCTGGGTCAGATTTACACCCACAAGAAGGGAAGTCAGGAGGTAAGTGCTATTGTCCCAGCACTTGTGCCAGCCAGTGACTCAGTCACCTTCACCATGAGGCACAGGTGAAGTGAGAGCTGCCACAAGTCCTGCTCCAGGGCTGTGAAGTGGATGCAGACAGAGAGTGCTGCACTTCTCTGCAGGAGGCGGCCACTTAACTCGTAACGCAGGAAACCCATCTCACCTTTCCTTTGAAGTTCCCAGCTGCACTCTTGAAGTTGTCGAGCTTCTCCTGATAGTCAGACACGCTTTTTGGCAGGAACAGCAGGATGTGAGTCTTGATCTCCCCTCCAAAGATTTTAGGAGCAGTCTGAGAAGTAGAAAATAAACTTTATTTCTGGAAGAGGCAAACTGGTGTCATGACCAGCTTGGCTCTGCTATTCTGACTAGGCCACAGGAGCCTCCAGATTAAAGGAGGGCTTTGAACGGAAGCTTTGACTCCACTCCCTTGTGTTCTCCACACTCCTCCATAAGCCCAAACTAGTGTCAGCTGCGAGATAACACACAATGTGCAATTTAAGCTTAGTTATATTCATGTGGTAAGCAATGGGAAGAGGCCTTACCATGGATCTAGAGACCAACCTGTTCAGTGAACTCTATGACCAGAGGCAACGAATTGGACTTGATGAAGTTCAGCAAATTATCTTTTGTGAGATCCCCTTCAAAGTTGTTGCGGCCTTCATCAAACTGCAAAACCAGAGGTTCCTGCATTAGAACACGTCAGATCCCACCAGTCGCTGCCCCAGCACGTCTCGACTGCACTTGTCCAGAGCAGACTCCTGGCTCTTAAATTCACCGTGTGTTCATATAACATCTGGATCAAGGTGTTCATCTTCCTGGCAAGCAAAGCCTTAGCTCACCCCCCAGCAGCAACAGGTGAGCAGCTACAAGACACTCAGCTTAACCTTGGCACTGCTGTGCACAGTCATGCAGCAACACACAAAACGGGCCCAAGGACTCGAGCAGCTTTGTGGAGGCATCAGGGGAGCAGTGAGCAGCTCCCGGGGCACAGGCGGCTTCTGCTGTAGGAACCAGCCCCACACTTGAACTGGTGCCATGAGAAGTCTGACAGCGGAGCCCACGTCACTGCACGGAGCAGCGCTGACCCAGCTCCGCGGGGCTGGTCCACTCTGTTCTTAGAGACAAGGGCACCTGTTTAACACGGGCCAGAAGAGGTGCCAGGGCCCAGTTTAGAGCAGGGCATCACCTGCAGCCCAGGGCAGGGTTCTCAGAAGCTCCCTGGCAGCCCGGGAAGGGAACAGCTGTGGAGGCCCATCAAGGTTAAGAGGATGTGCAGGGACGGGGCAGCCCTGTGGTACTGGCACAGCCAGAGCCCGGGCTCAGGTAACCTCCTGCTGGAGGAAGCAGAGCAGTGTCAGCCGAGGAGCTGAGCAACACCCTCCACACTGGAGATCAGCTTTGTAAACACCTCGGAGCATTCAGAGGGTGCTAAGGCGACATTCAGAGGTTGTTCAAGGGTCCTTGCAAGTCTGGACAGCTTCCACAGGGAGCAAGAGAATGACCTGCCAGCAAACCCAACCAGCTGCCAGAGTCCAAACAGAACTGTTGGTAGAATAAACTGTTTCTTGTCAGCATCGGTGCTCATTTCCCCCCTGGTTTGCAGTGGAACGCCCCTTATTGGGGTAAAGGCCCCTTAATGTGACAGACTTATCTGAGAGTTCTCATGACATGGCACCAAAACCGGACCGGGGAGGCAGCGTTCACAGGCTGGGACACACGTCCTCACCTCCTCCCCGCTGAGCAGAGCGCTCCTGCAGCGCCCAGCGGCTCCTGAACTGCCCTTTGGACCACGGCTCCTCCCACTCCCCGCACACCTGATGCAGAACTGCTCCTCCTTCCAAATGCACCCACAAGCCAAAGCTGCGAGAAGCCCTGCAAGAAGCAACCTCAGCCCAGCACTGGCCATGAAGGGAGCATACAGGAAGGTCACTTACAGAGAGCCACACGTAAGAGCAAGATCGAGGCAGTGAGTCAGCCAGGAACAAAACACTGCTCCCCTCACCCCAACTCTCTGAGCTGCACAGCCCTGGTGCCCTGAACCCAACTGTAGGGAATTCACTTGCACCCTCAGCCATACTGACGGGCCCCTGACCAAGAGCTGAAGTCTACAAGCTTCTAGCACCAGAACTGCAAATTCAGGTGTATTGGAATCAAACATGCTATTTTAGCTGAACAAAGAGTGACAGAGGAATTCATTCAACTGGTCTTAGGTCAAACTGGTCAGACCGATGACTGATTAGATTACAGATTTATTAAGTCTGAAACCAAAGCAGCTTTGTCCCACCCCACTGCACCCATGTGTGTAGCACCACAAAGTCTAAAGAACCTCTCCTTGCCTTCTCCAAGCTAGAAATTCATCCCAGTGACTTGGATTTTGATAGTAAAATGCATGAGTAAGTTTATTTCTGACTCTGTAGATGGCCAGATCCCCCTGCACGTAATCCAACCGCCCCAGCTTAGTCAGCTGGAGCTGCAAATCCTCTTAGGAACTCCACTGGAATCACTCACTTCCCGCAGAACCCACAGCGCTGCCAGACACAGAACAACTCCTGGATGCAGCCGCGACTGCCTACACCAGAGGTCGATCTAGAGTACGAGTTACAGCAGCTTTACTTAAGCCACAAGCAAGGATGGAGCAGCTCAGTGCTGCTCTGCTGGAGACCTCCCTGCCTACAGCCACCAGTGTTCTGAAGATCCTGCTGCTACTGCACTGCGGCCACAGCCGAGAAACAGGGAAGTGAGTGAAGCAACAACCTGGAGCCAGAGCCCAGCAGCTTCGGGAGGGCCGGGAGCTGCCGAGGCTTCCCTCTGCCAACAGCAGGCTCCACTCCTCCCTCTGCCCAGCTCCGAGGCTTGGAAGCAGCCAGACTGACAGCACAGGATCCTCTACAGATCCACCCAGGGCTGCCCTCTTTGAGTCTGACTTATTAGGGAAGGTAAGAAGAGGCAAAGGACTTAAAGTGTGGTGTTCGTGCCCTGACCAACCCATACCTTCTTGAAGAGGACCACGCCATCCTTGCTAAGCTCATACTTGGTGAAGACATCAGCACTAGAGGAAATCCCAAAAGGAATGTCATCCACAGCCTCTGCTGCCAACAAGAACTCCTTTGCAGCCTCTGATGCCGAGTCCTGGAGAACAGAGAGAGGTGTCTCAAACGGGACACACCAAAGCGCAGCAGGAACATCCCAGGGCTCACCCAGCAGAGAACTGGAAGATCAAGTAGGGCAGGACAGCACAGGGG